TAAAAAAAAAAAAAAAAAAAAAAAAAAAAAAAAAGAGAAACCTGTTTGCCCTTGCCACACTGGACATGACACTTATGGACACTGAAGTTTCTATTTCATATAAATTTTAGGAATCATGAAATATTCATCTTCTTTGGGTTTATGTCCAACCATTAGGAAACGTAAAAAGCATTCTTAACTCAGGAGACACACTGTCAGATCTGGCCTATGGGCCATAATTTGCCATCTCTTGCTTCATACTCATGAATATTTATGATCATTCACTAGACATATGTGGTGTGATAAAAAAATATGGTGACTTTAAATTTTTAAAAAATTTATTACAGTAAAAGACACATTGCCGTTAACGCCCCTCAAAATACTCTCCCTCACTTTGAACACACTTATCCCATCATTCTTGCCACTTTCTAAAGCAGTTCTGAAAGTCCTCTTTCATGTCTTTAGTTGCACTATTGTGGCTGCCTCGATATCCTGAATTGATTCAAAACATTTGATTACCTTTGGTCATTTTGAATTTGGAGAAGAGCTATAAGTTGTGCGGTGCCAGATCCGGTGAATAAGGTGGATGAGGGATAAGGACACACCATAATGTTTTGATTTGACAGAAACTGCCATACCAGAAGCGATGTGTGACACAGAGCCTTTCCCGTTGTGATCACAAAATACGGTGAATACTGCCTCTGAGCATCATTCAATAGAAAGGCAGGGATCTTCACTATGGGAATCAGTGCATCGAACCTTAGTAACAGTGTGTGACAAGTTTCAACTTGTTCAATGCAGTCAGTTGGGTGTGAGCTACAGTTGAAAGGTGTGTTTGAAAGTGTGCCATAAATCATCCTCCATCATGACAATGCTCCATGTCACACATTGCTTCTGGTTATACAGCAATTTCTGTCAAATAAAAACGTTATGGTGTGTCTTCATCCACCTTATTCACCAGATCTGACACCATGAGACTTCTGACTCTTCCCAAAAATCAAAATGATTCAGGACATCAAGACAGCCACGACAGCACAACTAAAAACACTCATGAAAGAGGACTTCCAGAGCTGCCTCGGAAAGCGGCAAGAACAATGGGAGTTCGAAGCAAGGGGGAGTATTTTCAGGGGGATTCATGGCAATGTGTCTTTCACTATAATAATTTTTTTTTTAATTTAAACATTCACCATATTGTTTGATCACACTTCGTATGTGAATATGTGTGGTCCCTTCATAATACTCCCTTACCAACCGTAAGAATTATGACTTTTAAATGGTTCTTACATTCACAGGTGGCAAAAATCTTATGGTAAAAACATTGTCACTAAAATTAAACAATGGTCAACACACTAAAAAACAAACAAAACCACTTTACATATCTTAAACCTGAAATAGTGGCTACTAGGTAATACATTTCTAGTTACCATCCCTGCTCAGGAAGAATTTTAAGATCTGTGAGACAGTGGTAGGTTTGTTTTGCTTTACCAATATGTCTGCTGAGACTTTTTTCAATATCTTTTTATCCATCCAATTGTTCAATGCCTAAGATTAGTAGTTGTACATTCTCATCACCTCAACCCCGCATTGTCCAAGAACTTGGATGCCTGATACATAAGAAGCTATGGATTTTCTTTCTTCAACCTAATCCATCTATTTACATATTTTTCAACCCTCTCTCCCACATGCAAGTTTATATAATATTTGTCCTATCTATAAAAACTTTCAAGGCATGCCTAACAAACATTTCTAAGGCTTTATTTTCCTTGTTTTGTTTGTTTCTTTAATTTCATACTTCTTTACTCCTGCAGATGTTCTACTTTATTTTATTTATTTTTTTAAGATTTTATTGGGGAATTGGGGGAGGGAACAGCATTGGGGAATCGGGGAAGGGGAACAGCCAAATTGCTGTCCTTTTGTTCTTCAGTCTTGTTGTGGAGAACGACGCTTCACTGGCCCATGTTGGTATTATCATTGCGCTCTTCCCGGGTGAGGCAGTCACTCACCGGCCATTGGACGGCCGCTCTCGGCAGCTCACAGCAGCTCATGCCGGCTGCCAGCCACTGACCGTAGCCCAGCTCTGGGTCGAGCTGTTGTTCACCATCTTAAATGTAGAGGGCGCACCTTACTGGCGCATGTGGGACTCGAACAAGCAGCCCTGTTGTTCAGAGCTTGAGCTCTTACCAACTAAGCCACTTGGCCAGCCCCCAGATGTTCTAAGTTAAATTCCCATTTTATTTCCAACTCCTGGGCCCTCTTTTTCTAGCTATCTCCAACAGTTGCTACTTGCACGATGCACATATCTAAACTACATTACCCAGCTATGGAAAAGGTTCCAGCATCATATCTCCAAGTTGTACATAGGGGTTCAATGTACTGTTCCCTCTTTTTTTGTGTGTATACCTGGAAATGTCCATAATCAAAAGTTTAGAAAAATACAGCATGTTTTCCTATACTCTAGATTTGGTCACAAGAGGAATTTGTGGTTGGGAAAAAATTAGTGTATTTATACACCACTTCTGTATGTCTTTGTTCACCACTTCTGTGTGTCTTTGTGTCTGTGTGTCTTTGCTCCCTCTGTTTGGCATGACCTCCCCAAATTCTCTGCCTGATAAAATTCCCCTCAAACTCCAAGCTTCCAGGCAGGAAGCATCCCTGGCAGAGCTACCAACTGTCTCCTCTGCATTCCCAAAGCACTTCATACATCTCCATTAAAGCACTTATTGCATTGTGGTTAATTGTTTATGTAGCTGACCCACCCTCACTCACCATACCCCTCCAAGTCAATAAGCAACTCTCATCTTTTTTTTCATCCCCAATGCCCAACACCGCCTGAAATAGGGTATCAAGATTGCATTTTTCAGAAATATTAAGGGCAGTGTCACTCTAAGGAGGGACTTCAGGAGGCTTTCCAAGCCCATCAGCACCCTTAGTCTTCCTCCTTCTCTACAAAATTAACAGATAATCTAAGTAAAAATGCAACTTCAAAACAAGTCCCTATTACCATGACATTTCCAGTCCTAAACACTTCTTCGAAGGAATTCTAGCATCAATACTGTGGAAAATGCAAGGTTCTCAACACCAATACCTACATGACACGACACCTAATAGGTTTCAAAGAACTTTCACCACTTTTTCCCCATTTGACCCACAGTAAGACAGATAGTTCTAACCTCATTTACCAGACATTCAAGGAAATAAAAGTAACATGTCAGGGTTTGTGACAGCCCTGAGCCTAAAAACCGTAACTTATTGATCTGTCCACTCTCCTGTACTCCATGAATGGTAGGCTCAGTATTTGTGGAGGGTTGTTTTTTTCCCCCCAGTAGATTTTCTCCCGATTATGAATGGTGGTATTAGATTGTGGCACCATATTCTAAAAATCCACTCCAAACAAAATCATTTGGGCAGATACATATTATGAAAAGACAGAGTCAAATATGCCCACTTGTGTTAGTATTGCTCTATGATTTTGCCATAAGTACTTAAAGTCCAAAGGGTTTCTAGTGAATTACTAACTGTTCCAAAAATGACCTGCCCTGCACTTCTGCAAATAGAAATATGGAATCTATTATCTTAAAAATTCACTCGTGAGGAAGTACTAATATTTATACGTTTACATACAAGAGGCTTGATTTTCTCTTCTTTTATAGTTCATCTTTCCTAAGCTATTAAATTTAGATTACTTACGATATTAGTAGGCTCTTCCCTTATACATAATTCTGTATGATTTAACCACCACTTCAATTCTCTTACTACGTAACTCCTCTAATATTAGTACATATTATTTTAAACACAAATAGAAAATTGCCTGCCCAAAAATCTTGCTACTGTGTGGTAACTGAAAGCAAAGGTTATTTTCAGATATTTCAACTATTCAAATGAGCTGCATTTAGCTTTTCTCAAATTAATTTTTTTCAACAAAGGCCTATAATAGTAAAGTATGCAAAGCATATTATACTTAAGATTTTCAAGTTTGATCTGGCTACGAATCTGCTGAATGTAAAAATCTCAATATGGCAGAGTGCAAAATATTTCCCACAAATGCATATAGAGATATCATGCAGATAGCCGCAAGACATGAATCATTGCCCTGCTGCATCAAACTCAGAAACACAGAGGCAGAAATCTCGCACAGTTCTTAAAAGTTCAAATGTATCACCTTTTAATCAGGGTAATAAACTATAATTGCTAACATAATATGTAATGTTTACTGTTAAACCCACAATCTGGACAAACAGAAAATTATGCTGTCAGAGCCTGGAAACAATTGCAATCTGTTGTAACACACAGCACCTCCTTATATAGAGTTGTCGTGGGAAGTTACAATGCTTTATGGTTTTAATTTTTTAGAGTAAGGGTCTTTTCCTGAGAAGCAAGTAATAAGATGAAAGCAGTCTCCTGCGTGACCTTCCTAACACAGACCTTGAGCAAGCAACTGCGGGGGCACAGGCTGAGAAGGCACTTGACAGCACCACTGGGTCCCTCACACTTTGCTTTCAGGAACAAAAAAAGAATATTACTATCTGTACCTGCCTCTCCCCCCACTCCTCCTTAAAACTTAAATTACATTTACTCCTAGTGATCTGAACAGTTAAGACGAAGGTATGAATCTATTCTTCTGTCCGCTGATCCCCAAAGAAAATAACCCCCCAGCGGAGATCCGAGCCTGGAGTCGCAGGTTAGAGGGTAGGGGAAGGGAGGGATAGGTGAGGGAGGGGCGCGGGGGCTGGAGAGGCTGTCGCTCTCCCCCGCACCCACGCCCTCACTGCACTACATTTTCTCCACCTCACGTAAAAATCTCGTGCAGGTGATGCCCCACGAGAACCACGGGTCTGAGTCCCCGTGCATCCCAGACGAGGCCCCTCAGCCCCCTCCCCCGCTCGGGGACCCTCCTCCCTGGCTGTGCCCAGGTATGGGGCTGCGGCTCTGGGTGACCGTCCCCGCGGCTGTCTCCTGGCAGGGGCAGGAGACCAGTGGGGGCCCAGCCCAGTGGGGGCCCTTCCCGAGCTACCTTTTATCCAGGCAGGCGATCCACTCGGCGGAGGAGGAAGAATGGGCAGCGTGCGCAGCGACCATGTTGGGCAGCAGTACGCGTGTCCCTGGCTGCAGCGACCTCCCGCGTTCGCTCTGCCTCTGCCTCGCCCGCCGCGCGGACCGCTCCTCCCGGACCGCCTCGCAACCTGTGCGGCTGCAACTGCCGACTCGCGGCCTGCAGGGCTGGGTGGAGGGAGGGGACCTGAGGGGCGGGACTGGGGACAGGGAGGGCCCAAACCTCCCGCAGCTGCACTGCGGAGCCCGGGGGTGGGGAATCCAGCGGTCCCGCCCACTGCGGGGAGGGGGCTAGGTGGTGACTGAGTAGCTGGTCACCTGCGACAGGTGGCCGCTGCGTCTCAGGGAAACCTGGGCCCCACCCCTCGCCTCGGGGCCTCTGAAGTGTGAAGGGAGAGAAGATGCCGAGGGTGGGAGGGTGGTGGGGGAGATGTCAGTGTCTATATATTTTTCATACAGCAAATGCCACTAAAATGGCTGCTGCCTCTCTGTTTCCCTAGAAATCCATTAGTCTTCCTTGGCAGCTGTCAAAACTTGCTGGTGGTTTCTTGCTCACCTTTCCTGTTTCCCCTTTAAAAAGGGATGGAGAGGAAGGCTATTATGGTTTGGGATGGGGACACCCACAGTGGTCTCTGAGTGTGGAATCCAGGGGACAATTTCTCTTGAAGGGTGAGGAAGGGCTGGGATGGAGGGAAGCAGGAAAGGGTGGCCAGTGGGCCAGAATGGTGACTGTTGATGACTGAGGGGATGACAAATTGGTCTCAGGCCTTGAGCATTGGACCTGCTTGGGCATCCATCACCCGTATGATGAAAAGAAACAAAAGAATGGGAAGCAGTAGAGCCACAAGTCAAACTGAGGTTTAGGGATTGAGGGCCAAGGTCACAAGGGACGTGGGTTAACTTGGATGGTTGGCCCCTCATGCCATTCTTTCCATGGCTTGAGTGTTGAATGGTCTATCTACTGTCTGTCTCTACTACATGTGCGCAACAAATGCTACGCCTGGAAGTTGTTTGCTTACACTCTGCCAACAATCAAATTATGCTTTGATGGTTGTTCGGGAATTTGGGGACAAATTAAATTTTTTGGACCACTACCAAGCACTGTTTTGATATTTGTGGTGTGCATTTTGGGATATACAATGGGGAAAGAGACATAGCATTGCTTTCTTCACTTTTTTTTTTCTCTCCTACCCTTCTCTCACTCCCCTGCTTACAGGAGTTTCAAGCAGACTGGAGTGAATGAAACAACATGTGCATTCCAGCATGCTTGTACCCTTATAAAACTCCTCCAAGAATTTGCCATTTTCCCTCTGCTCCATCGCCAGGATCTGGCTTCAGACCTGCCATCGTTCCTTCAGCAACAAACACCTCCCTGCTCAGGGCTTGTCCCCCAGTTTTGACCTCTATCCAATTAATTTCCATCATGTGTAAGATAAATAACATTTGGAATGTTATACTATTTAAGATTACCAAAGGCATTTATGTTGTTGCTTTTTATGATAGATGTATGACAGAAAATGAGTCTCCTATATTTATTAAAATTAATTTATAAAGGCATCAAAGAACTTCTGAGAATGTTTCAAGGTCACCAAATGCTCTCTCAAAATGCCTTTACTCAGAGAATGCTTATAGGTAAGGAGCTAGAGGAAAAAGAGACTGCATATGACCTGTCATTAACAGAAGCTCTGAGTTGCCCATAGTTTTTGGCCGTGATGCTAATAATAGTCACCATTTATTGACCATCCGCTGAGTGTCAGATGATGCAGAGTTCTTTGCATATCTCATTTAATCTTCAAAACTGTCTATGAGGCAGAGCCAGAATGACAGATATCCAGGGCACTATTCCACAAGAACAGACAAAGATCTCTGAAAATGTAATGAAATAGAGAAAATTATGTTTATCATTACATTCAGAGGAGTGTTGATTGGGTTGGAAGGGAGATTCTGATGAGCTGCTTGGAGTGGGAGTGAGACCCTAAGTTGTCCAATGTGCGTTTTAAGAAGAATAGGTCTAATGAACTGCAAGGTTTTTGTATTGCTGTGTGGTGATCCTGCCTTTCCTCTAAATAGAAGTTGAAAAATTATTTAAAGAATATCCTTTTGACAGAGCACCAATGATCATTAGCTCACCCAGAGCCCATACATGTCTCCATCCAGCCCTGGAATTAGGTTCCAGTAACTCCAAGATATTCACTAGGACACTGAGCCTCAGGAAAGGTTGATATGTTCCTCACAAGACCCCAGCTACTGGAGCTGGGTGGGGATGGAGGGGGTACTGAACCAGATTCAGGTCTGAGTCCAAAGTCCTTGCACCTCAGTGATGGCATCACTGGTTTGATCAATAGAATGAAAGTAGAAGGCATGCCAAAAATTTCTGCCCAGGTGATAAGAACAAAATAGTTATAACTTCTTTTATGTAAAAATAGGAAAACTTGAGAAGAATAAGGATGGAAGAGATCCTTGAAATGTCAGGAATAGCTTTACTGTTATACTGTTGTGGTCTGAAAGGGATTTCATTGTTGGTCAGGAACTACAGAAGTACAGGAGAAGCTGTTAATAATTATCGTATGATGAAAAGAAAGAAAATAAGGGATTTTTGTTTTGTTTTGAAGGGAACAGCAAAAAACCAAAGACTATACTTCCACTTCCTTTAAAAAAACATAAGTAAACCCAGACCAAAAAAAATCACATATTAAATGATTCCATTTATATAAAATGTCCAGAAAAGGCAAGTCTATAGAGACAAAAAGTAGATTAGGGATTGGCTAGGCCTGGAGTGGTGGGAATGAGGAGTGACTGCAAATGAGTCCAAAGAATGTTTTGAGGGTGATGGAAATGTGCCAAAATTGGATTGTGGTGATATGGTACACAACTCTAAATTTAACAACAACCATCAAATGGCATATTTAAAATGAGTGAATTGTGTAGTGTGCAAATCACATCTCAATAAAACTGTCAAAAGTAAATAATAATTTAAAAAATAATAAACCTATAATAATTTTTAAAATAATAAACCTATCATAGGAGAAACAAAGAACATATATTGATCATTTAAGGAGAAATAAAAGAAAAGGCAAAAATTACCCATAATTCCATTACCTAGAGATATCACTGCTAATATATTAGTGCATTTCATTCTAAATTTTTTATTTTAAAAAGATACAATCACATATACATCCATAAACACTTGTATATAACTAACTACTTACAGTCAATTCTTCATAGATGTGTATAGACACATGTATAATAGTCCCCTCTTAACTGCTGTTCTTCTCTCTGCAGTTTCACTTTCCCAGGGTCAACCGCAGTCCAAAAATATTAAATGGAAAATTCCAGAAACAGACATTACCTTTAGCAATATTTTCACTGATATATCTCCTCAGGCAAGGGAAACAAAAGAAAAAATAAACAAATGGGACTACATCAAACTAAAAAGTTTTTTCACAGCAAAGAAAACCATCAACAAAACAAACAGACATCCTACTGAATGGGAGAAGATATTTGCTAATGATATATCTGATAAGGGGTTAATATCCAAAATTTATTAAAAACTCATACAACTCAACGCCAAAAAACACACAATCCAATTAAAAAATGGGCAGAGGACATAAATGGCTAATAGACATATGAAAAGATGCTCAACATCATTAATCATCAGAAAAATGCAAATAAAGACCACAGTGAGATATCACCTCACACATGTCAGAATGGCTATCATCAATAAATCAACAAACAAGTGCTAGTGAGGATGTGGAGAAAAGGGAACACTTGTTCACTATTGGTAGGATTGCAAATTGGTGTAGCCACTATGGAAAACAGTATGGAGGTTCCTCAGAAAATTAAAAATAGAACTACCTTATGACCCAGCAATTCCACTCCTGGGTATTTAGCCAAAGAAATCCAAAACACTAATTTGAAAAAAATATATATATACCCCTATGTTTACTGCAGCCCTATTCACAATAGCCAAGATATGGAAGCAACCAAAATGCCCATCAATAGACAAATAGATAAAGAAATTGTGGTACATTTATACAATAGAGTATTACTCGGCCATAAAAAAATGAAATCTTACCACTAGCGACAATATAGATGGACCTATAAGGTATTATGCTAAATGAAATGAGTCAGACTGAGAAAAACAAGTACCATATGATCGCACTTATATGTGGAATCTAAAGAACAGAACAAACAAACAAGCAAAACAGAAATAGATTCATAGATACCAAGAACTGATGGTTGCTAGAAGGGAGAGGGGTTGAGAGGATGGGTGAGAAAGGTGAAGGGATTAGGAAATACAAATTGGTAGTTACAAAATAGTCATGGGGATGTGAAATACAGGATGGGAAATACAGTCAATAATATTATAAAAACTGTGTATAGTGTCAGATGGGTACTAGACTTATCAGTGGTTCACTTAATAAATTAAGTGATAATGCCTAACCACTCTGCTGTACACCTGAAACTAATATAAAGTAATACTGAATTTCAACTATAATTTAAAAAATATATACTCACAGAATGTAAAGTACAGCATATGGAATATAGTGAATGGTATTGTAATAGCTATGTATGGTGTCAAATGGGTAGTAGGCTTGTTGAGGTTATCACTTTTGAGGTGTGTAAATATCTAATGATATGTTGATTTGTACACCTGAAACTAATAAAAAACATTGAGAAACCAGACATAGCTGAGTAATTACACATTCAAGAAAAATCCAGAAATAAACAATTTGTAAGTTTGAAAGTGCACGCCATTCTGAGTAATCTCTCTCTCATTGTCCAGATTCGTCCTGCCCAGGATGTAGATCATCCCCTTGTCCAGTGCATCCACACTGCCACCCATTAATCACTTAGCAACCATGTTGGTTATCAGATCACTACTAAGGTATCACTGCCTGTGTTCAAGTAACCTGTACTTTACTTAAACATGGCTCCAAAGCACAAGCGTGGGGATGCAGATGAAGGAAATTCAGATCCACCAAAGAGAAGCCAATAAAGTGCTTCTTTTAACTGAAAAGGTGAAAGTTCTTGACTTAAAAAAAAAAAAAAGTTGTATGCTGAAGTTGGTAAGATCTTCGGTAAGAACAAATCTTCAACCCATGAAATTGTGAAGAAGGAAGAAGAAATTCATGCTAGTTTTGCTGTCACACTTCAAACTGCAAACGCATCACATAAATATTTTATCATTTCACATCATCACGA